AGAGGGTCCTGTGTCACCTTTAAGACTAACAGAAGTATTGGAGCATAAGCTTTCATGGGTGAATGCCCACTTCATCAGATGCAAGTCACGCACGAAAGCTTATGCTCCAATACTTCTGTTAGTCTTAAAGGTGCCACAGGACCCTCTGTTGCATTTTACAGATTCAGACTAACACGTCTACCCCTCTGATACTTGATCCCATCTGATGATTTTAGTCAGTTCAATAAGGACAACCCCCGTCACTGAGTTACTTCACTCAGTTGAAACCTAGCCTCTTTTCAAGCTTTTCCCTTGGCCATCGCTTCTCAAAACCAGACACTTGGCTGCTCTTAACCAATCAAGAAACCCTCCCATTGCCTTTGGGGATCTGAGCCCTACTGAAGAGAACAACCTTGTAGGCAATGGACATAGATCAGCGCTGGGGCTCAGCTGTTGTACCAGAGACTGACCCAATCCCCAGGATTTCCTACGACATTCATTTTCGATCATCAGCCATCAGTTCTTTCATGTTTGTAGCACGTTTCTCGGGGTCAAAAGAGGAACACCCAGACAGAGATTAAAGAAAGATGAGGAGATTCAATCTCTGCCATGAAGTCTCACCACTTTTTCTCATGTCCTGCTAACCCTGGAGGAGGGAAAGGCCTGTCCAGAGGGGCTGGGCCAAGCATCCTGGTTCCCTTCTGCACTTCAACATCTTCTCTGATGGACTCAGCAGCCACTTATGTCCACATTGTGATCTCTGTCCTCAGGGTCATTTCACAGGCAGATCTGGGCTTCCTGCTACTGCTGTCCCTATCCAGTAGATGGCACCAGTGCATAACAAACTCTTTGATCATTTCTTATTTGCATGTTTCATTCATTCCAGCGACCTTATTTCTGTGTCGGCCCAGCCTAGGCATCTGGGATTTCCCCGCTTTAAACAAATTCTTTTAATATTTCAAAGTTGCGCCCAGGTTAGGGCCTTACACCTTCCCAAATAATTCCTTTGGATCTACAGCAGATCTTTTAAAAAATCCAATCTTGATTAAAAATTGCCAATGTTGAAGAATCCACAATTAACTTTGGTAAGTGGTTCCAACATTAGTTAAAGTTCCTGCTAAAAACTCATACCACAAAACAATCACTGAAAAATAAATCAAACAGAATCCTTTATATTCCCTCTGAATTTGAAACCAATTGAGCTTGAGTTTCTCAGTATATGGTGTGTTTTCCAATCTTTTGATCATTCTTGTGGCTCTTCTCTGACCCCTCTCCAATTTATCAACAACTTTTTTGAACTGTACAGACAAGAACTAGACAATGGGTCACCCTGCATAAGAGAACAGTCCATTGCTCAGTCTTTTGGGTCTCTTTAGCCAACCAGAATGGAGAAGGAGGAAGTCCATCCACATGTAGGTGCATAAGATGGTCTTTGTTACTCAGTCACACAACTGAAAAAATCTGCACAGGCCAGGATCTGGACTGATGTCCCTTCCGGAGGGTCTGTGATGGCCACACCCCACTATCCAATGGGCACTAATGCCCACATATTTTCCCCTTGGCTTTTCCAGAAACATCTATGTCTACCTGGGAGTCCAGGACTTCATGAAGCCGGGACAGAACTGGCAACGGATCCGGGCCCGTCGCTGGATCCAGCACCCCGACTTCAACAATGAGAACTTTCACAATGACATCATGCTGCTCAAGGTACTGCCCCCATCCCATCACCTGCCCCCAGTGACCTCACACTGCTAGGGTACCACCCCCATCCCATCACCGAGCTCCCAGTGACTTTACACTGCTGCAGATACTGCCCCCCTTCCATCATCTCAGCCCCAGTGACCTCACACTGTTGTAGGTATCACCCCCATCCCATCACCCACCCCCAGTGACCTCACACCGCTGCAGGTACTGCCCCCATCCCATCACCTGCCCCCAGTGACCCCACACTCACTTCCCGGACTTACATCCATGCTTTGGACAGGTGGTGCTGCCCCTTGCCACCTCCGATAACTGTGCTGATCTGGGTCCATTCTCTCTCCTTCCCATGGCAGCTGTGGCACAGTGTGGAGCTGACCGAATGGGTGGGGCTTGTCCCCCTGCCGGAGGCTGATCACCTCGTCAGCCCAGGCTCCGAGTGCAGCGTGGCCGGGTGGGGTCGGACCGGACTGAACACCACCACTGACAAGCTGCAGGAGGCAGAGCAGGAGGTGGTGTCGGATGGCCTGTGCAGAGAGCGGTACCGTCATTATGACCCTATCACCATGCTCTGCGCCGGCAGCCCCCACACCAAGAAATCAGCCTTCCAGGTAAATATCTCCCTGCCCAAAGCCACTGTGGGTACAGGAAGCTGCTCCAGAGGAAGGAGCCGATAGAAACCACCATGGATATGCCCCTCCCATGCTCCATTGCCACAAGACGGGAGCCCATCGTGCACCATGGGAGATGCATCCCAGCTGGGGAGCCCAGCACATAGGATAACTGCAGAGTGGTATCTTCAGTGTTACTGCCCTTGTGCAAAGTGCTGGTGGAAATGGGCTGAAATTTAACATGGGCTCATGCACATAGTGACAAGAAAAAAGAATTTCTTCTCTGAGCCAGGGGATCATCAGCTGGAAGTGTCAGATGGGGAGGGAGAAATGGGTGTGTCAACCAATCACAAGATGACCATGGGCCACCATCGGGATGTGGCCAGAAGAAAGGCCCATGTGGTCCTGGGATGAAACAGCCCAGGTGTCTCCAGGAGGGGGGGGGGGGGTTTAATGCCAGCAGAGAAGGTTCTGGGCATTACTCAGCTGGAATCCGGTGCAGACTTCTGGGCAGC